TACTTCATCATCGTCGTTCCAATATCATCAAACAGTAATGCCGGTGGAGCAGGGGAGGGTGCGCGGGGTGCGGGGGGTCGGCGGCGGCGGTTGAGTAGGGGAATCGAGGGTGCGGGGGGTCAGCGGCGGTGGCCGGTGGACTGGGGGGTGCTCGGCGGCAAGGGGGACCGGATCTGGCGAGGTGGGATAGCGATCGAGATGGAGGGGGATCGAGATCGAGTGTCCATGAAATTAAAAAATATTCATGATAGTTCAAAAAGTGCCCATGAAATACAATCGAGAAATGAAGTCTACGATTTAAATACAATCGATCTTAGCTAGCTATCTGTTCAGAATCTTCTTGCCCTTCTTTTTCGCAAATGGAGTTCTTCTATGGAACGGACGTCCTTTAGGTAGGGTGGTCCTGCTTCTTCTTGTGGTGTATGCTGCTACTTCATCATCGTCGTCATGTTCGATCCTCGGGTCGCCGTACTTGTCGAAGTCTTGCTCATTGGCTACTCCATCCATTCCGATGATCTTCCTTTTGCCTCTCCTCACAACAACACGACTGGGCTTTGGCGGGTCGGTAATGAAGAAGCATTGGTCCACTTGGGAAGCCAGTACCCATGGCTCATTTTTCGCGGTGACGTTTGCGCCCGCGGTCTTGGATTTGGCTTCGGGTATAACCATGGTGGTGAAATACCGGTCTTCTTTTATGACGTTCTTGGCCCATCTGACACGGAACATCGGGACCTTCTCTCCAGCGTAGCTCAGCTCCCAAATCTCCTCGATCCTTCCGTAGTATCTGTCCTTGTCGTTACCGGTGTAGGATTCCATCGTTACCCCTAAGTTCTGATAACCATCGCTCTTCATGTCCTTGGCCTCGGTGTAGAATGTGTAGCCGTTGATATCGTACGCCTCATAGGTCATCAGGTTGTGCTCGGCTCCCTGTGACAAGGCGGATATGAGTTGTTCTTCCGCGGAAGAATCCTCATGTAAAGGGTACGACAGAAGCTTCTGCTTGAACCAACGCGTGAAACATGAGTTGTGCTCTTTGAGTATATCTCCGTCCGTCCTCTGTTGGCCTCGGTCATTGTACGTCTTCTTAATAAAGGTTTTGTGCTCTGCCACCCAAGGATCGACCACGTCTATGTGTTGTAGCGCGACTAGGTTTGCTCTTTCAAAGTCGGCGAGTCGACCCTCAAAGTCGACATGCATTTCGCGGCGACCCTCACGGTGACCCCATCCAGCGAGCCTGCCGAGGTGCCTGTTGACGGGCAGACCAACGGGGTTGTTTCCTGGTTGATGTCGTTCCCTGGTTGTTTCGGACCTTCAATTAGCATACTCATGTGAATGTACTTCCTCTTCATGCACAACCAGGGGGGAAGGTTGTACATCCACACAAACACATGCCAGGTGCTATGTGTGCTTCTCTGGCTGCCAAACGGATTGACTCCATCGGTGCTCGCGCCCAGCACGATGTTCCTTGGATCGTTATCAAATTCTGGGTATTCGAAGTTCAACGCTTGCCACTGGCTCGTATCCTTAGGGTGACTCAGCATCTTGTCTTTTTATCTATCTCCGAATCATTTGCGTCATCTTCTCGCTTCTTCTCCTCCCTATCTGCGTGCCAACGCAGGAGCTTTGCTACCTTAGGGTCCGCGAAATACCGCTGCAGACAAGGAGTGATCGGAAAGTACCACACCACTTTTCGAGGAGCTTTCTTCCTCTTCTTGTATCGAGTGACACCGCACACCGGACATATGGTAGACTCCGCGTGCTCGTCCCGATAAATGATGCAATTGTTCATGCACACATGGTATTTCACGTGCGGTAAATCCAGAGGACACACGATTTTCTTCGCCTCCTCCAAACTGGTCGGGCACTTGTTCCCCTTGGGAAGACGTTCATGCCAGAATGACATGTTCTCGTCGAAGCATGCGTCGGTCATTTTGTGTTTTACCTTCATCTCCAGAGCCATGAGCGTTACTTTTAGGCGGGTATCCTCGGGCCTGCATCCTTCATACAATGGAGTAACCGCGTCTAACTCAAGTTGATCCATCTTGGCTTTCTCTCGGGCGGCAACTCTTGCGTTATCCGTCTGCTTGAGAAGCAGCTCTTGAATATGAGGGTCCTGCACCCAGCCCATCGATGGTCCAGCGTCGTCTGCTCCGCCGGCATCATCATCATGTCCTGCATCTTCTACATGATGACTGTGTACAGCATCACCGTCGTGATCATCTCCTGGGGATTCTTCGTCTTCTCGCCCGCCCGAGCCGCGGTGGTTGTCTTGCTGCCCTTCCTCATTTCTTGCCCGGCCCCCATGGACGACTTCGTAGTCATCTTCATCACCTTGCCACCGATAGCCATCCATGAAACCACGCAAGAGCAGGTGGTCCCGCACCTGCCCGGAATCCGGGTCCGCAATAAGGCTCTTCAGCTTGCATCTTCGACACGAACATCTTATCTCTGTCTCGTTCTTTTGAAGCATCTCGGCCTTCGCGGACCTCAAAAACCTATTCACGATGCCCTCGGTCATCGTGCGGACCATGGTCGCCTGCGGGGTAGAGCAAAACGATATTTTAGAACCAAGAAAAAATTTGGCATGACTTTCCCTAAAAATAGGACCAAAAAGAATGCTTAATGCCAAAATTCTCGCCGAAACGGAAATGAATCAACATTCCGGCAAAATATTGGCAACTATCGCATTTCAAATACCGGTACACCTCCAAACACAAACACATATGCAACACCACAAACATATGCAACACCACGAACATACATAGATCTAGCTAGGCCATAAAAAGTGCATGTGCACATTGTTGTAGGGAGAACAACATAAATATAGCTTCCCCCTTACTTACCTATCAAAACAAGGTAACTTAACCACTTAATTTGAATGAATCTATGGTGGAAATGAGGTGAAAAAGAGGAGGCACCCGAGACAAGGAGGAGGCCGTGGAGAAAATGAAGTAGGGAGAAAGTGAGTGTGGGAGGAGAGGCTGTCCAAAATACCTTGTTGCTGCCCACTTACTAATGGCGCACCAACCACAAATGCGCCATTAGTAATCCAGGTTACTAATGGCGCACCACCTGATGGCGCGCCATTAGTAGTTTTGCAAAAAAAAAACATACTAATGGCGCACACCACCAAGGTGCGCCATTACTAGTTTAAACTAGTAATGGCGCACCGCAGTCGAGTGCGCCATTACTAGTTTTGCAAAAAAAGGAATTAAAAAAATAATAAAAAAAACAACATTAGTGGCGCACTTTCTGACAGGTGCGCCATTACTAGTTACAACTAACTAGTAATGGCGCACTTCCTTCGGATGCGCCATTAGTATGTTTGTACAGGCGCACTAGTTCAAAAAAAAATGATACTAATGGCGCACCGCGGGGCAGGTGCGCCATTAGTAGTTTCAACTCTAATGGCGCATACTAATGGCGCACGACTTGTCTGGTGCGCCATTAGTGTCAATCCCATCTATAGCCCTTTTTCTAGTAGTGCTGGCGTCCCTTGTGTTGTTCATCGAGTAGCCTAGATCCTTTGCGAGGCGACGAGACGTGAGTTGGTAGGGGAGAGATCTTCACGCGCACCCCAAAGTTTGAACCTTAAGGGTCTGCTGGAACTCGAAATCCGACAGCCTCCTCTTCTCCCCGCACTGCCGCCGGCGCACCCCTGCCCTTCCCCGCCCTCCCCCATCTCTCCGATGGCCGGACGTGGTGGCCGCCGGTCCCTACCGCCGATCCGCAACACAGATCCGTGTCGCCATGCGCGTGGGTCGTCCTCCACGGGCTCTTCATCGAGCCATCGCCGGTCGCCCAATCCGCCCGCCGCCGCGCCCCTACACCAGTTCGAGGACTTCCCTGTCCTCCCTCCTCCCCGGCCGCCGACGAGGACCTACCTCAGGGTCCGGCAGCGATACTGGAGGGCGTGGGTGGCCGAAATCACGGATCGGGAGACCCATACCTGGCGGTGGCTCGGGACCTTTCACACGGCCGAGCTCGCAGCCATGGAGTACAACCGCTAACAGGTCCGCTTCCACGGCGCGGCGGGTCGGTTAATTTCCCCCCAAGCACACGTCCCCCCAAGCACACGTCCGATCCACCTCGTCCCGCCGGAGCCGGGGGTGATGAGCTCGGCTATGGCACGCGAGGACGCGAGGCGAGCGAGCGCTTCAAGGCCGAGGCCGCCGACGAGGCCTACATGGAAGAGCTCCGCCAGGAGCACCCGGAGCTCGTGGAGGTGAAGCAGATGATCTTTGTCGACGCCGGTGGCGAGGTTATCGTTATCTCCTCCTCCGACGAGGTCCAAGGCGGCGAGAACGGCGGCGAGGTGGGCGGCGATGACGAGGAGATCGACGTCGGCGAGTGGAGGAGTGTCTTCCCTGACGACCCCGACGACGGCACCGGCCCGGACGTGGCTTGCGGCACACCGTACCTGACGAGAAAGGATTGGCTCGACCTCCACTTCGACCGAAAGTAGTTTAGTTGCTTAGTTTAGTTTGAATTTATGTTTTATGTTCGGTTGTGCAAAACTATCTATGTTTATGTTTGAACGCAATGCTACTTTCGGTTTAAATTGCTTTGAACTTGATCGAATTGAAGTTTACTCCGTTAAGTTTAAGGGATCGACTAGAAACAATCAAAAGTTAGTGGAGTATATATATTCAATAAGAATTTTACTCCGTAAATTTTTAGGAAATCGGATAGAGATGGCCTTATCACATGTGTCATGTGGTGGACAACCCATTGGTAAATCACTTCTTTGCATGCGCCACGATTTACTTTCGTCCACACCGTGATCCAACAATGGATGATGAGAAGCTCCTTTTTCGCAAGAGTTAATCATGGAAACTTGGGAACCCCCTCACCAAACTCACCATGAGACGCCTATAAAACCCAGACCCCCTCCATGGAGTCGCTGCACTTGCAACGGCCGCGCGCTGCACTTACTACACAGATCGATGGCCGTCCAAGTCGTGACGTCCGAGCTGGTCGCGCCGAGCGAGGCCACCCCGCGGCGCGCGCTCTGGCTGTCCAACCTCGACCTCGGCGCCAGGAACGGTTACTCCCCCACCGTCTACTTCTTCCGAGCGCCCGATCGCGGCGACGGCAAGGCCGAGTCCTTCTTCTCGGCCGGCGTCCTCAGGGCGGCGCTGGCCAGGGCGCTGGTCCCGTTCCACCCCTTCGCCGGACGCCTCGGCGCGGGCCGCCACGGCCGGGCGGAGATCGACTGCAACGACGAGGGCGCGCTCTTCGTCGTCGCGCGGTCCGAGGCCGCGCTCGACGATTTCGAGGGCTTCGCGCCGTCCAAGGCGATGCGCGACATGTTCGTGCCGCCGTATGACAACGCCGGCGCGGGCGCCCCGTTGCTCATGCTTCAGGTTTGCAGCATTCGCGTGTACTTAATTAATCGATCATCTTCCTTACGTGCATGGCGTACTGTATTAGTGCAACTATATGGAAGTGGGAAGATCAGAAGACTGAATAGATTCTTTGAGATGAGAAAAAGACGGTCAAGGTCAAGCGCACCAACCACACTGGCTCCGTTTCATTTCATTCCGGTGACGTATAAGCACCGCAGTTTGAACTCCAAACATGCCAATTCTACAAGTTGATTAGCCTGTCGTATTTAATATTTCGATTACTAGTAGTGGTGGCTAACTAGCTTCACTCCTAGTAATGGTTAGCGCACCTAAACTGGTTATTATAACAGGCGACGTGTCGGCGTGAACGCAGGTCACCTTCTTCCGGTGCGGCGGCGTGGCGCTCGGCACGGCCATGCACCACTTCGTCATCGACGGCCGCAGCGCCTTCCACTTCATCCAGACGTGGGCCAGCATCGCCCGCGGGGACGCCAGCGCCACCGTGCTCCCGTCCCTCGACCGCACCCCGCTGCGCGCGCGCTCCCCGCCGACCGTCCACTTCGACCACAGCCGCGAGTATCGCCTCACCGCCCCCGCATCAACCGATCCTCCTGTCGCTGGCGGCGTCAAGCCGTCGTTGGAGTACGCCAGCGCCATCCTGCGCGTGACAGGCGCACAGGCCGCCGCTCTCCGTGCGCGCGCGGGCGCGCCCCGCGTGTCGACGTTCCGCGCGCTGGTGGCCCACGTCTGGCGCTGCGCGTGCGCGGCGCGCTCCCTGGCCCCCGACGCCGAGTCCCGCCTCTACACCATGATCGACATGCGCGCCCGCCTCTCCCCGCCGCTCCCGGACGCCTACTTCGGCAACGCGGTGGTGCGCACGTCGGTGTCCGCGAGGGTGGGCGACCTGCTGTCCGGCCCTCTCGGGTTCGGGGCGCGGCGGCTCCGCGCGGCGACGGGGCAGGGCGACGAGTACGCGCGGTCGGTGGTGGACTACCTGGAGACGGTGGACATGGGGGCGCTGCCGAGGAGCGGGCTGCCGGGGACGGACCTGCGGGTGATCAGCTGGATGGGGATGCCGTCGCACGACGCTGACTTTGGGTGGGGCGAGCCGGCGTTCCTGGCGCCGGCGCTCATGTTCTACCCGGGGTTCGTGTACCTGATGAGCTGCCCGGGCAAGGGCGGCGACGTGGCGGTGGCCGTTTCGCTGGAGCCGGATCGCTTGGCGAGGTTCAAGGAGCTATTCTTCGAGGAGATGGCCGCCATGGAGTGAGAGCCTCGCCGTAGCCATGATCGTGCTACGTCCACGTGATACGTGTAATGTGGAATGTGCAGGTGAGAGTATATAGTTGTAGTAATAACGAACAAATTCTACTCGTGTATAATCAGAATTTCATGCGAATAAAGGATCAAATTTACATGCAAAAGAACTGCCAGACCATGTGATCCATTTTTATTTTTTTCTGAGAGAGAAAACGTGATCCGAATTTGAGTAAGCAACGGGCCGGCCCAATCAACGGAGGGGCAGTTGCGCTGCGAGTTGGCAACCAATCTCGCGAACCAACGCGCTATCGGAGGGACGAGTCCGCCTTCCCCTCGGCGCCTCCGTCCCAAAACCAAAACTTCCCTCCACTTCAAACCAAACCCTAACCAAACCTCCGCCCCGGTTCTGGCATTGCATTGCAATGGAGTTCGCCTACCGAGGCCGAGCAACCGCCGCGGCCGACGGCGTCGGCGTCGGCGATGGCCGCCGCCTCCCCGATCCTCCGCCGCCGCACGGTAATGAGGCCCCGCCGGGTCCTCTCTCGTCCGGGACTGCCAAATCTCCTCTCTTTTCTTACGGTTGTTCCAATGTCTATAAGTGAATTTTTCTTCTGCTGAAATTCGTCCCTGACTGCACATTGTTATTTTTTTTTTTTGGCGAATCGCAAGGGAGGTTCGGGGATTAGCGTGAGATTGTTTTGGTAGAGTGTACAAATCTAAGAGAGGCAGACGATCATTTTCCGATTTAGTTATTGTTCACCCTAATTCTCAGATGATTTCATAAATTTGTTCATATACAGTTGTAAAAATATTCACTGTGATGTAATAATTGGTTCATCCTTACCCGCAAAATAAAAATAAAAATAAAAATTGGTTCATCCTGGGCAAAAGAGGAATGTAGTATTTGTTCTCAGAGTTGCAAAAAATTATGAAATCTTGCACATAGCGCAATGCCGGATCGACGGTTTTCGGCGTCTGAATGTGAACTAAGAAATTCTCCGACGAATGTGAATTAGCGAAATTGTACTTTTTTGGTAGAGAAATCGCTAAACGTTTGTGTCTGGACATATAAATCTTTGAAAACATTATTCACAAGTCTATGAATAGGCTATTATTTACCACTGCAGCGGTGCACGCCATGTCCCTAAACACTTTGCTCCGTCGGCAGTGATACCTTAAGCCCTATCACCCACAATGCTCTGCCCCACAATCCTGCCTGCGCCTGGGTCGTGTTCATTTTTGGGATTAAAAGTACTAACAAATCACTGCATACTATATTTAAGAGTGGCAGATCCTTCAAGAGATATCTCCAGAAATAAAAAACTTCCCTAATTTATAATGCCTATATTATGATGTGATGATCATAAATACTTTCTGATTATTTTGATGTTACAACATGTGATGCCATGAAAAAGAACATCATATGATGCACGGTTAGTACAATACTTTGGCCTTTTATAGTACTGATCGTTCTGTCATTGGCAACGGGAAGGCAATGATGCCGACTCACCACAGGCAGACATGGTGGCGCTGGTGTTCAGGAGGGAGCAGCTGCTGCACGAGCTCCACAAGGAGCGCATCCGCCACGATATGATCTTGTGCGAGCTTGCCCAAACAGAGCGCGCCATGACCGCGTGCTTAGCAGGGCTTGGCGCTTTGCGTGGGTTGCCGTTGATGACTCCACGGGAAGAGGTGATGTACCGCACGCCGCGGTCAAGTGAGGAAGCTTCTTGGTGGTACAGGAGCCCCTCGGGGCAAGTGATACCTCCTGTTTACCCACACGTTGAACGGTCGCCGTCACCAGTGCCGCAGCGAAGGCCAGCCGATGATGCTGAGCAGCAAGAACGCGGCAGCTCCTCTACGCCAGTTGTAGCAACTCCTTCAGCGTTTCCTGAAGTGGAACTATTCCGGTCACTGAGCAAGGACCCTGCAGTGGAAGAAGCTTTGGTACCTGCTGCGACCAATGTTGTTGCCAAACCAGCAGAGCCAGCATTGCTGCGCAAGGAGGTGGCAATAGAGAGCCGTGCCGCTGTTGATCATGAACACGTAGCAGGATTGAAGCACAGACATGCCGTGCAGCTGATGGAGAATGGAATTCAGATAAGTGGACAGTTAAAGCGTGCAGCCATTGGTCAGGAAAGCAAAGCAGGATCGAAGGACAGCCATGCCGTGCAGCCGATGGAGAGTGGAATTCAGATAAGTCAACAGCTAAATCATGTAGCCATTGGTCAAGGAAGCAAAGCAGAAGCGAAGGACAGCCATCCTGTGCAGCTGATGGAGAGTGGAATTCAGATAAATGAACCGCTAAAGCGTGCATCCATTGGTCAAGGAAGCAAAGCAGAAGTGAAGGACAACCATGCAGTGCAGCTGATGGGAAGTGGAATCGAGAGAAGCAAACGGCTAAAGCGTACAGCCGTTGGCCGAGAAACCAAAGCAGAAGTGAAGGACAACCATGCCTTGGAGCTGATGGAGAGTGAACTTCAGAGAACTGAACAGCCAAATCTTGCAGCTGTTGGCAAGGAACAGGAAGCAGGATTGAAGGACGGCCATGCCGTCCAGCTGCTGGCGAGTGGAATTCAGATAAGCGAACAGCTAAATTGTGCGGCCGTTGGTCAGGAACGCATAGCAGAAGCGAAGGACAGTCATGCTGTGCAGCTGACGGAAAATAAAATACAGAGAAGTGAGCAACCCAAGCGTGAAATTTTTGGTCAGGAACGTGAAGCAGTAGCGAAGGATGGCCATGCCGTGAAGCTGACGGAGAATAGAATCCAGAGAAGTGAACAGCCAAAGGTCTTTGGTCAGCAGTGTGAAGCAGAAGAAAAGCATAGACATGCTGTAAACTTGATGGAGGAGAGTGGAATCCAGGGAAGTGAACAGCCAACGCCTGCAAACCCTCCTATGAAAGATTGCATCGATGAGCGGAGGCAATTGCCCCACCAATATGCGCTGGCTGGCAAGGAGAAGTCCCCATTTAATGAGCAGAAGAGACCAGCGCTCAACGAGGTGAGTGAGTAGACCTTTTAATTTGTCCTTGTTTGTTTCTGCTTCCATTTGCTATTGAGGTGTTGCCAATATTTAAGTTTCGCAATTGCTTGCTTCACTAATATCTTCAGTGACGAACATGGCAAATGTTTTTCTCTTGGTCTTAATGAAACTGACACACAATCCTGGTAGCCACTTTGAACTACCCAATGGAATGTTCCGCGTTCATTAATCAACATGTATGTGCTATATAGGAAATGTGAAACAGAAATGATACCAAATAGCTCACTGATCCCGTTTCAATAAAAATGTCAGTTTACTAATAGAAATGATACCAAAAAGCTCACTGATCCCGTTACTTTAGTTTGGCAAATTCTTTGGATATGCAACTTACTTTAGTTAGGCAAGCTCTTCGGACATGCAAACTTTTAGTTAGGCAAGTTCTTCAGATATTGAACTACTTTAGTTAGGCAAGTTCTTCAAGTATGCAACTTAATATATATTTTTACATCTTATCGTCAAAATTAATTATAGAACTTGATTGTAGTAGTAGTAGTATATGTACCTGAGTTTACCTTCCTTGCTCACTAGTCTATTACTATACTAATGCTCTGTAATCTAAACAAACTTTCAGCCTAATACGCAAACCACGCCTAGTGGAGTGAAAAGGAGACCGGTTTTTGGACCGGTTGTGACAACTCCATCACCAAAGAGGCAGAAGCCACTTGAAGAATGGAATTGCACCCTCTGTCAAGTGAACCTTACCCGTGAAGAAGACTTGATGCAACACAAAGCAGGCGAACTACACCGGTTGAACCTTGCGGCATTGCGGTCCAGGCAGAAAGCATTTGGATTCGACTTGCGCAACCATCTCAAGGGCAGCAGCCACCAGGAAAGCGCGCAGGCCCTGCACACAGAAGCTGGGAGCCACCATCTCAAAGGGAGGAGCCATCAGGAGAGCGCACAGACCCGGAAGGCAGGAGGAGGCAACGAGGAGGGCAAGCACCGCAGGGGTACTGAAGCTCCGAGGAAGGAGTTTGTAAGCAAATTTCCCTTCTGCAAGCTCTGCAAAGTGCAGTACTCCAGCGAGAAGGTGAAGGAGTCGCATCTCGCCGGGAAGAAACACAGGGAGAACCTTCAGGCACGCCATTGAGAGGCAGCGGTTGCAGAGCAGCGGCGGTTCGTTGCGAAGTTGCGTGTTTATTGTACCATGGGTTAGTGTCTGATTAACATGTCAATCTGCAAATGTTAGCACGGTGCAGCTGCAACTTGACATGTCGGTGGCTGCACTGGAGTTCATTTGGTGAAGAATCTACGTGTTTATGTCCCTAGGTGTCAACATGTTCCATCCAGGTGTACATATTAGGTTTTATAGATCTTTTAGTTTTAGTTAAACTAGAAAGGAGTGGTTCCCTTTTTCACGTATTCGATAGAGAGCTGATTTCTCCGATTTCCAGTGCTGATCGACTGAGGGTTCTAAGATAGTGGCTGTAATTGAAGAAGAATCTACCTTGTGTAATTTGGTTTCGATTTCGTTTGAAATGTCGGCAGCAATCAAAGTGCCCGTGATTTTATTCGACAATTTGATCTGTACAGATACATGTGTAGTGAACAGGCAGTACTCCTTGGTCGGAAAAGAGCCATTGTTGCTTGATAAAGACGAGTAGGAGAGGGATGCTTATTTATTAGTACTGCAGGAGGAGATATCTTTGACTGGAGGAGATGGTAGAAACCTGCAGGAAATAGGACGGTGCCGTGTAAACAAGATCTCATTTATTCCAAGTTTGTCTACGACGCATCCATCCTCACCGTTGAAACTCGCTTCGGCATTTCGGCTCCGGTTTCCTTTGCGACTAAGCAAAACATCTTAAGCCGCCGCGATCGATCAATCATTCGTTGTGATCGGGACCAATTTGCCTTTTCACGCTCCTTTTCCTCGAACGCCCGCCCACTGCTGTTCTCCTCTCCCGAGCAGAGCCACCAACTCCGGCGGCTCGGCCTCAGGTTCCTCTCGCCGCGGCTGCTCTGCTACCACCGGGACCCCGGACCCGACCGATGGAGTTCTCCCGCCGCGGCCGAGCCACCGATGACGCCGGCGACGGCCAACGCTTCCCTGACCCTCCGCCGCATGGTAACCGTCAAGTCACTGTCACTCGTACCTTCTCCTCGGTTTTGGTTGTTTCAGTTTTCCTGGGTTCAGATGCAGGCCACTGCTTCGATTCCAAGCCAAGAACTCAGGAACCTCCACCGCTGGGAGTGGGATGCCTTTCTCTACAATTTATACTAGAGAACTATATTTCAGATCTGTTTGTGAGGCACAAGATAAAAGAATCGGACATAGTTTGTGCAATCTTACCGCCAAAAGAATAAAAAACACTTGCAAATGTAGTACAACTCTTCCATCGGCAGATCATATGTTGTAGAGCGGTTGTGCAAAGGGACGCGCTAGTGTAGAATTCTTGTCACGCTGACACATCTAATGGCCGCACAATGCTGCTGATGCACGCAGGAGACCCGATGCTGGTGATGAGGGACGCGCTGCTGTCACAGCTCCAGAAGGACCGCCTTCGCCAGGAGATCATCGTGGCCGAGCTGGCTAAGATAGAGCGTGCCATGGCCCTGTGCGCCGCCACTGGCGGCCAGCAGGCCACACCGGCACCAGCCGGCGAATGCTTGAAGACGTACGATGGTAACGCGGCTCGACAGAATGCAGCGTCTGATGAGCAGAGGCTGCCGGGCTCCAATGAGGTGAGGACATTGTCCATTTTGTACTCTTTACATATGTCCTCTGTTTTGTCTCGATATATTACAGGGTGCTGTTTACAATCATGAATCCCCTCAAACTCCAACCACTTATCTTGTGATCATAATTCACAATACCTGATAATTTGTTTAGCATGGCAAGTTTACTGCCCAAGTTCTTGATTTTAGTTTATGTTGTTATTTCTGTTTTGCTGATTTAGTTTTCTCTTTGGTTTTTCTGGTTGTTGCTGTAAGGCTGGTGCACGTTTTTGAAAGAAAAAAAATGTTTCCAAGATCACTTACTACTGGTCTGATCAAACTCCATGTAACTTGGTATAATAGCTTAACTGCTCTTACAAGTCAACTTGCCAATGGCCTATTAGAACTGCATGTAACTCAGTAGCAAGTCTGTTCTACTTGTTTTCATAGGCTCAGTCACTTACTAACGATCTTAGTTAAATTATCAAACAGGCTGTTCCAGAGACTAAGACTTCGGTCGCGGAGAAGTGGGAACTAACAGGAATAACCATACCAGTTAAGAAGCCCAAAACACCCATGAAATGGTGTTGCGCCATCTGTGAGGTGCAAGCAACCAGTGAGCAGAACTTGCTGCAGCATTATGCTGGGCAGAAGCACTTGTCAGCAACACTGGACCCAAGAGCTACAGCAAGTGGTCAGAAGGCGACAACGGCGGCAGAACCTTCTCTTGGTACAGAGCAGAAGAAAACCTCCTCAATAAAATGGAGTTGCAATACCTGCCAGGCAACTGGCTCGGGTCAATCGGGGTTGGAAGCGCACCTCAAGGGCAAAAGACACCAGCAGAACATCTCAGCCACATCCATGCCGAAGAACGGCGCGGCGGGGGAAGCAAAATCGCTTGGCATCAATGTGCCGAAGCGTTCAGAGAAGCCACCATCAGCCTGGAGCTGCAGCATTTGCCAAGCTATATGTACCAGCGAATCAGACTTGAACAGCCACCTGAGGGGCATAAGACACCAAGCAAAGGTTCAGTCCTTGCTTGAAGGCAAGAACATGGCAAGGAAAGAAAAACTGAATCCAGATTCAAGATGGGCCTGCAGAATTTGCCAAGCTCACTGTACTTGTGAATCAGACTTGGAGAACCATCTTGCAGGCAAGAGACACCAACTAAACATTCAGGTTTTAAGCGCGAAAACCAAGCAAGAGAAAAACAATGCACCACGAGTGGCCATGAGCCAAGAACCACCCTCGGAATGGCATTGCACAATGTGCGAGGCCGAATGTAACTCTAAATCTCAATTTGAGGATCATTGCAGAAGCAGCAGGCACCAACAGAAGATAGAGGAGGTACTCGGAAAAGGCAAGACCGTGAAAGTGAGCAGTCGTAAGGCTGCAAATGAACTACTTTCAGATTGCTCTACCAAGAAGAATGCGAACTCAGAAAAGTTGGAGAAACGGCAGATAGTATATTTCTGTGAGCAATGCAATTTGCAGTGTAATAGTGGTACAGCGCTGGCACATCATCGTGCTGGGAAGAAGCACCGGGAAAAGCTCGACGAAAAGAAATAAAAGATATATGTCAATCTGGGCATCTATGGCAAAGCCATGACAACATATTAGTGATACCAGCCTATAGATGACTCCGTGAGGAAGTGATCCAAACGCATTTGGATGAGGAGAGTTGCCATACAATCCCACCATCTGGGTTCAAGTCTTCAGGGATTTGGGTTCCTACTTATACCCTAAGGGCTTCCCTTACAAATTTTCTTTAAAAAAAATGATACCGTGATACGAGCCTCAAAGTTCAGCACACAACTGAGAGGTGGTTGCGTGGTACACTATGCCAGGTAGCAGCATTTCCTTGTATCGCATTTATTGCCCTTAGAGCAAGTATAATAAGGTGACGTAAGCGGGATGTAAGACTTTAAGTAATATATTTTGCTTAGTTGACAGAGAGATAAGAGGAGAGAGAAAAGAAGTAGGCTACAAACTAATAGCTGGCTGCAGCACGTACTCCTAGAGACTTCGTGAGAGAGGGAGATAGGCCATGTATGAATAAAGGCGCCGGTCAGCCCGGACGTTTGAGGACGGTTCGAGGCGGCCGACTGAGTCAACTTTTTATGACCTGTCAATGACTGGTCAGCCCGACCGAGTGTTTGAGATGGATTCTAGGCATCCAGTTATAGATGCGCTAAGCACTACACCACTAGTCCCAGAAGGCGCAGCTACCACTTGCTGTGTACTACACCGTTCCTTTTTGAGGGCAAGAGTGCTAATAATTGTATATGTATAGAGTAATTACATGGATTACACCACTACCCTACCGTTCCCATGATTCATCCGGATCTGAGCGTTCCTTTTTTTTTTTGCATGGTAATATGTCTCTCATTCATATCATAAAGATTAAAGTACAAGTCACGTAAGGACCAACATGATAAAACTGAAAAAATAGCAGAACATCTCTGAGCTTGACACCAACGCCCATCACCTGCCTCCGGTACCACGATAGCAGCCACGGAAGAAAAGAAGAATGATGGATCGCCTCCTGACCCGAGCTCGTCTGACAAGTCAACGCAATAAGGCAGTCCTCCATCAATAGCACACTTCTTCCCTGTCGTGACACTGGCTCGCTGAACAGGCAACCTGCTCGCAGCATGCCAGCGACATCGCTACACCGGCTTGCAGAATGGCGGAGACCGTCGCAACACCTTGGAGGTCGTCGAAATACTCGCATCACAACGGCGACAGAGCATAGGGGCACCAACGCAACATCACTGCGCCATGGATGCAAACCGGCACCATCGCAACACCAGCTTGCCCCACGACATCGTCGTCGCAGCACTAGCGTGCAACACAACGACACCATCACAGCACCCGCTCGCATCACTGCAGGGGCCGTCGGAGCACCGGCTGGTATCACCAGAGGGGGAGGGGCGTTGCAACAACGGCTTGCACCACGTCCGCTCGTAGCATGGTGGTGGTCGTTGCAGCACCCATAACATGGTGGTGTCATCGCAGCATCGCCGCAGCAACATGGGCATCATCACATCGGTCATGGAGGAACTCCTCTCCCTCACAGAGGAGGGGGATGCCACAAGTTGGGCTGCAATGACTGGGGAGGTGCACCCATGACGATCGCTGCAATAGGGGGGTGACGAGATCAGGGAGACGACGACGACGAGGAACCGGGAAGGACAAGAAAATGTGTGGATGAACTAGGCTTGACGAAGATAGGAACAAGGGGAAGCGGTGAGTGGGCCCATGGAGGCCACGAGTCACATGTGCGACGCGGCTGGCTACAGCCGGTTGGAAGGAATCATTTTCCTAAGAAAATGTAGTTATTGGCAAAAGAAATCGATGCAAACTAGAGGTGACCGCAACATGGTCCATGTTGCAATCGATGATCAAATGCTCACATGTTTACAACGCTATGCAAGCTAAAGGTGATCGCAACATGGTCCATGTTGCAATGGGTTAACAAAGGCCCATGGGTTTGCAACGCCATGCACGATGGAGGTGACCACAAGATGGTTCATGTTGCAATGGGGGACCAAATACCCACGTGTTTGCAACGCCATGGAAGATGGAGGTGATTGCAACATGGTTCATGTTACAATGGGTGATCAAATGTCCACGGGTTTGCAGTGACATGCAAGCTGACAGTTAGCGTGATATGGCCATGTTGCAATGGGTGACCAAAGGCCCATGTGTTTACAATGTCATGCAAGTTGAAGATAACCGCATCATGGTCCATGTTGCAATGGGTGATCACGATATGGTCTGTGTTGCAATGACTGGCCAAAGGCTGATGTTTTTGCAACATCATGCAAGATTGAAGTGACGACAACATGCTTCATGTTGCAATGACCTGATGGTTACATGAGACATCCGATGACTAGTGACCCAGCTGATCTTTTGCCGGAGATTAGCGGGCTGACGGTGTAGTACATGTTTTTTTCTTATTGGACTAGGTGAGTGCCCGTGCCTTGCAACGGTCTTAGATCATTAGATCTGGATAGCGTCGCTCATAAAGGAAGAGTAGCGCACCGGCGCGACTTGCTTTGCTTTTCAATGCAGAACTCGCTGTTGTCTTTCTAGCTTTAAAACTACAGGTTCACCCGGGGCCAAAAAAGGAGAACTCCAGAATGCCCGTCAACGTTCTAATAAGGTGCATATCCCTTATCACTAAAGGAAAGATATATCCAAGTGATGCTATCAACAATCAACTCAACCAATAAAACCATTCTGCTGTTTACCCTGTTATTACACCATCATACATGCATGTATTTCATAGATCAATTCTCCAAGAAAGCTATATGTCCTAAGAGGCTGACTCAATTACTTTTCGGTTGTCAACTTTGCAAAACAGAGCCAGAGTCGGCGGCACACCTCCTTTTCAAGTGTAGATACTCCCTCGGAATTTGGGCCATGCTAAAAAATTTGGTTTAGGCTCCGGAGCTAACCCTTGCTACTTGGGGAGGGCTAAATTCGGTTCTTCACTGTGGACACAGGAGGAAGCCGATCTCCTTGCTGCTCATGCTTGTGGCATGAGAGGTTTGGAAAGAGAAAAACGCAAGGGTCTTCTGCAACAAGGCATCGATGTCCTCTATTGTTCTTGATAACATTAAAGGGAGGCCAAAAACTGGGTTAGCGCCGGGGCAAAACAATTGAGCTCTATCATGCCACTAGAGTAGGCTTTTTTCTTCCATTTGGTGAGGTCTCGTGAACCTTGTTCCTTCTCTCCTTCTTTCTTAATGAGATGAGGCAAAGCTTTTGCCTCCGTTTTAAGAAAAAATATTTTTTCCGGCAAAAAAGGTATGGTGAGTCACTAAAAATCCACTTAGCACCAGCAAAATATTTCAATGTTCGGCTCATTATTTCAAGGCTGGTCTGGATGCATCCATGTCTCCTCACATTGAATCTGCAAATACGTCCAGAATGATTATTTGTTATCGATACTATTTAACCGAGTCAAGCAATAGACACATGTTCTGTAGCAGCGTAATACAAAATAAAAAAAGTCACTAGAAAAGGGAAGGAACCATATTAGGCCTGATAACTCAAACTTTTATAGTAAGCTATAAATAAAATGCTCATGGAGCGCTAAACTGAACAACGTTTACATGAGTATTCGTTCTTTAGGTACAAATGGTCTGTAAGTACCTGCAGGTCTAGCTGTGTACATGCTTGTGATGATGGTCAAATGAAGCCAAGGCAGTAAGAGCATCTCTAGCAGACCCTTTATATCGCAAAACCTTAAAACCATTATAAGGGTCAAAAAAAAGTGCTTTAAGGTTCGACTTTACCTCCCGCGGAACAAACCCCGTAAACGGCACTGTAAAAACGGATATTCCTCTCAGAGATGCTCCCCGCCTCGCCTCCTCATTCCCCGCCGTCCTCCAAACGCCCCCGGCGGCGGCCGGTCACATCCACGAGGTGGTGCTCATCCCGTACACCTCGCCCCGCCTTTCTCCGGCCCCAATTTGAACAACCGGCGTCCGATTCCGGCGGGCGGCGGCAGCAGACAATTCCGGTGAGCTATGCGGTGGAATTGCGGCGGCGCGTCCATCCCGACGAGGTTTGACCGGTATCAGGGTTGTCCTCAGTTTAGCCTTCGAGCCTTCAAATATATGGGTTTCAGATGTGGGTTTACGGTGCCCCTTAAAATATTTAAGGGCCGGACCACTTTTGCGGTTTATGTTCTGCACACTTTTTTCGACCAAACCGTTAAAATCAGAAAATTATAAGGATTTGATCGGTTTTATGGGGTCTGAGATGCTCTAAAGCAGGTACAAACGGATCATCAATGGATAAGCCAACATGAAATTAACTATGCCCTGTAAATTGTTGGTCATGAGATAACACTTCAAGGAAGTACATGGGAGTTGCAATTACAAACTTTTTTTTGAAAAGGAGGATGTACCCCCGGCCTCTGCATCTGGGTGATGCATGCAGCCATTTTATCAATTATTCACAAATCCTTTACAAAGGTAATACATCAGTAAGCCTGAAGCCACCATCTTGGCAACACCTGTCACTACGCCTATCCCCGTGATGAAGGGGTGCCGAATGTCCGAGCCTAATACCAAACATACATCGCACCAACACCTAGCATCTAATGCCAGATGCCCCATCCAAGCCATATACCTGGACTGGGTTACACACCAGTCCCACGCATTTTTAGTGGGCACCACATGCGCACGTGATACGTCTCCAACGTATCTATAATTTTTGATTGTTCCATGATATTATATTATATGTTTTGGATGTTTAATAGACATTTATATGCTATTTTATATTAATTTTGGGACTAACCTATTAACCGAGAGCCCAGTGTCATTTTCTGTTTTTTTCCCTATTTTAGAGTTTCGCGGAAAAGGAATACCAAACAGAATGAAACTTTCGCGATGATCTTTCTTGGACTAGAAGGAAACCAGAAGACTTGGGGATGAAGTCGGAGATGCAACAAGGCGGCCACGAGGCAGGAGGGCGCGCCCAGGGGGTAGGGCGCGCCCCTACCTCCTGGGCCCCTCGTGGGTCTCCTGACCTAGCTCCTTCGCCTATATATA